TGGTGAGAAAGAATCCAACAGTTATCCAAATAGGAATTGGACCTTTGGAAGAGACTCCAGACAGGTGTTGGGCTTTATATTTCAACCTCTTTACAGTCTTCGAAATCAAAACTGGGTGCCCCAGAATAAGGGATATATCTAGCACGTGTATTGCAATCAAAAGAGATGTTTGTGGGAGGAGGACCCCAAAGATCAGAGCTGGAAAGAACAGGCTGTAATGCCTTGGGCTCATATCAATATGCTCATCAGGATTCTTTTGTATTGGCTTAAAATATTTTTCATGAATTCACAAGGGGAATAAAGACTGACTGTTGTCGAACATACCAAGGAACACAAGGCTGTGGAGAATGCCCCTGATTGAAAAGTCTGGTGCCCCGGTATGGCAACCACATCTGACATTAGTATCATGAACGAAGCACTAATATAAGATCCCATAGTATATGTGAACCATCTGCTGATAAGATGCTCCAAGAACTCAAGATTGTGTAGCACTCCATGGTTGAAAGTAATTCCCAAAAGATGATGAGAAGAGGGAACCTGCTGCAGCAATAAGTGCAAGATTGTTGACATCATTATCAGAGCTTTCATGACCTGGATCATATGAGTCTTCAATCGATCATCTCCCTTCTCAAAGAGTTCCCGACCACGGGCCAAAGCTTGCATGTATATCACTCGGAGTTATTCCATAACTGATCTCTGAGCATGTGGCAGTAAAAATCAAGTTTAACCTCTGAGGAGAACACATGGTCTGAGTAAGAATCCCCAATCTTCGAGTACCTGTTATGAATGCATGAATATGCATGGAGTGCATGAATGGATTCCATGTCATGTTATGTCATTCCCAAGTAATTTACGTGCTTTGATTTTGATTTTACGCAAGTATGGGATGGAAGAGTTTAGCACAAGACTTGCAAATGTGATTCCTTAGAGATAACATAACATGTATGTTAAGCATGTGGTTAACCATGTTATGTATGCAAAGGCATGGGGCAAATGGGATGAAGGTTCCATCATTTCTGAATATGATTGTTGCACTGTTTGGAATCATATGAATATCATCAAGTCAGAGGTCCGGTCAGAGTTTCCGCACGTATAAGAACCAATTACCATGTAGATTATCAATTGTACGGGATCAAGGCTTCTGGAACTGGATACTGTTGATCCTTTTTCTAAACATGCTGGGAATACCAAGATCGAAATCCCAAATGAACCTCCAAATAAACAAGTCAGGAACTCAGAAAATAAATCTGAGAACCATACGGTCACCAATAGAACATAGTTACCATCTAAGTGAGTCATAAACAGAAATCCATAACATAATTATTAGAACAAATAATCACCATCTGAACATGAGTAATTATCTGAACATAGTCACCAACTGTACCTGTGATAATAATTCCCTTCCCACTCACGGGTGAAAACTAGGTCTGGGTAAGGCGAGGGTAACTCGAAAATCACGGGTTCGCTTGAAAGTAAAAAACATCGCAACACAGACGTGCATGATGAAAATACCTCCAATTGAACCTCATTTGAGCATGGTATATGACATGACTTCACTATTCGGACCACGTCCTATAGCCGTCATGCCCCCACTCTATTCCTAGTGTCCTAGTGCACTCAGGCCTAGGTACTGGGCCTTTTACCTCAATAGTAACATCCCAACCCAATCAAGAAGCAGCTCCAGTACAGCAGTAGTATATGGAAAACAGTAAAATGCAATGCATACATATGCTCGGGTATATAAAAAATAAATAAGCCATAAAGAAAATAAACACCCAAAGAGAATAAGACAAGAGCTATGAGCGACTTCGGGATGGACCAATATTCGGTCGACCAATACCCAGAGAAGTCGCCAGCTGAAACAACCAGCTGAAGATCATCAAACAATGAAGTCGCCATCGAACATATTTTATCCCACATGAAGGGAAAGGTAAACATAGAGAAAACCTAAGAAGGGAGAAGTCAAGGTATTGCGACCGAGAGATTGAGTAAGGGAGTCTGTTACACGAGGGGAAGGTATTAGCACCCCACACGCCCGTAGTACTCTACGGTATCCACTCTTGTTGTCTATCTTATGGTTGTGTTAATCTATGCTTACTGTTTACTACTGAGAAAGAATGCATGCAAAAGAAATGAGAAATGAATGTAGGGAAAATAAAATTATACTCGCTTGGGCCCTACCTCAATGCCTACGTATCCTTTTTGAGGAATCAGAGCTACCGTAGTTCGGCTCACATGTTTTGTTTGTTTTGTGTTTTTTATGGACGATGTTAATTCCGCCTTTTGCCGCAGCTCGACCTTTGGAGACTTATGCATTGGCACATAAGTAAATTAATCATGTCCTTACCTGAAAAGGGTTTTAGAGAAAAGTTGCTTGAGCGAATGAAAAGGTTTGAATTGGTTTGTATTTTCGTTGCAGATAACGACTAGTTGACCTTAAGAGAGAGATATTAGCCAATTTTCTACTTATCCATGAAAGGAGTCTTTGAGACTTGAACCATACCTAGGCTTGAGATGGAAGACAATAAGATCGAGAAGAGACCCGCTTATCATTTCCCATACTAAGCAAATGCATGATTCTCATCAGTAATTTTAAAGTATTTTGAAGTTTGAAAGAAAAAAGAAGTTTTTGTTTTAAATGCATATGCAAAAAGGAGAAAGAAAATTCAAAGGGAGACTATCCTATTTATAAACCTAATGTTATTATGCAATGATGGTCCTAAGATTTGGATTAACAAAACGGAAATCTCTACCTAATGTTAGCATGCATAGTTTGCAGTAAAGCTCTACTTCTCATGATTTCAAGAAAAGAGGTAAGAAATACGATTGCAGAAATGAGGGATAAATTAAGGTCACGATGATACCGAACGGAGAAGGTCCGTTGCCTCTTCATAATCACATAAGCAATAAGAAAACTCTACTAAAAGTTCCCTCGAATTCCCTTAGTGAAAATTATGCTCTTAGATAGCTTATAAGCTTCTTGAAAACTTCCTGTAAATCTCTTTTGTCCAATAATGTCACACAAAATAATTGACAAAAAAATGTTGAAACAAGTAAGAAACATAAAGAAAATAAATGATACCAAGGGGGTGTATAATTGCATGCAGGTGTATAGCCCATCAATGGAACTCTGGGCGTTGGGCCCATTCAAATTGAGCCCACCATATTACCCTTTTTTGTTTGTAAAGCCAACAACCACCCTCTAAAAAAATTCTAACGGGCATTTGAAGTTCAACCCACCTCACATACCATCACCGCCTATTTTCAGATTTTTTTGTCACAAAATACAAAAAAAAAAATAGGAATAATCAGATAAAATTGGAAGAGGATTAGGTTTAGCCGTCGTGTGGCTGTGAAAGAATTTCTTCTCCGATTAAAGCCAAAAATCGCCGCCGATTCAGTTTCGATCAGAGCTCACGCCGTTGTCTCAAACTCGCTCTCTTCTCGTCTCCATCGAGCTCGATATCTATCTCTTCCTCCAACGACCGTCGTCACCACACCACGACTGCCTTCGTCTCAATTCGATCCGGTCTGAACCTTCTCTCCTCTGTGGATTCATCGTCACTCCAAATTGTTCCATATCTCAACAAAGAACTTTGAAATCCTCACCTTTAGAGATGGATTTGGATGTCGAATTGTAGCTTCAGATCTTGATTCTATCGTCTTCTACATGCTCACAAATAGAAATATAAAGAAATGAAGAATCGTGACTTACCAACCAGTATACCATCAGTGGTTCTTGAAACTGAGAGAAACATTGAGACAACCAAGAATCTTAAGGTATATTCGCTCCTTCTTTCTTTTATATTCCTTCTACCTTATCTTCCGATTAAAATTCCTTCTGTGAACAATATGCGCTTCTGTGATGTTCTATGTAGTCGTGTGTTGTGTTGAAATAATGGCGCGTTTTTGTTACTGCAGAGGCTGAATGATTGAATTGAGGATGATAATTCGATGCAGAATCTTTGTTGCTGGTGGCTGAAATGTGATGAATGAAGGTGAAGTTGTGTAAGATATTGAAGGTGCATGGAAGATGATGAGGTTGCAGAAGAAGGTGGTGATTGAAGGACGTGAGGGAAAATGTAGAAGGTGATAATGGAAGAAGGAAATAAAGAAAGAAGATGGTGATTTTTTTCTATTTTTCTTCCCTTCTCAATCTAGAATCTCTCCCTCTCTTCTTTTATGGTTCTGTCATCCGTTTTCAATCTGTTACGAAATCTCTCTTGGAAGTCTGTTGTAGAATTGGTTTGAGGTGGTTGTGAAAATTGAGGATGAGGGTGAAGAAGATGATGAATTCAGTTGAGAATTTGGAGAAAGTATAGAAAAAAATGGTGGTCAGGATTTGAATGTGAGTTAATGATTATATAGATTGGGGAAGTGAGGAATTCAATTGGAGGTGAATCAATCTCAACCCTAGGATCAAATTGAATCTGTTATTGATCTGAAGTTGAAAAAGTGAGCAGTTAGAGAGGTTGTAAATTGGTTATGAAGTTGGTTAAACTTGTTTGTGCTTCTGTTTTGGCAGTTGGTGAGTTAATTGGGAAATTTTTCTATTGGGGAATGTTTTTGGATTTTGTTGGGATCTATTAGTTTTCTATTATAGGGGTGGTTAGTTAGTTAGAGATTGGTTAGACTGGTTAGTAGTTGGAAACTGTTAAAAAACAGTTAGGGGTTTAGGTTGTTCATTTAGTTAGTTTTGGTTAGGAGATTTTCTTTCTGTTATAATTTTGTTATCATTTTTTCTGGTGTAAGTTACTGTTTAAAGGTCGTTATGAAACTGTTATAGAACATTTTATGAAGTTAGTTTTTGTTCTTGGTGGCGGTTTGTTGTTAGAGCTCTGTTAGTTACAGGTTTGGGTGAATGAGGTTTAAAGGTTAAAACTTATCTTTGTTGGTTGTTAAAAGGTTGGTTGAAATTCTGTTTTGCATGATATTTAGGTGTATGATGCATGATCAAGATGCATGATTGTGGTTGAAGGTGTTGCAGATATTGATTGAAGATGCAGAGGGATGAAGCAATAGCAGGTGGTTTGAGAATTATTGAAGGTGATGTTGTGAAGTGGTCATTGAGAAGTTGCGGAAGATTGGTGCAAGAGGAAACCATGGATTGGAGGTCGGAGTTGATAAAGGTTCAGAGAAAGTGGGGAGTTCCTGATTTTTTTTGTGAAGTTTTTGTTATGAATTCTGTTAGGATTCAGTTGTATTTCTGTTAGGAATTTTTAGAAGTTAGTTGGACTGTTTTTGAGAGGATAGGAATCTGTTGGAGAGGCAGTTAATGGGTTGTTTAAAAGTTTTTGTTTTGATAGTTAGAATTCCGTTAAGATGAGATGTATTTTCTGACTTAATCCCTTCTCAGTTTCCTACAAACCAACTGTTATGTTAAGACATGAGCTGGTTTTCGTAGCAGCCTAATTTCATCTTCTGTTTTCCGGATGCCTAGTGAACTGGTTCCGCTTATCAATTTATGCAGGTCTGTTAGAAACTGTTGTTTGCTTGAACTTGTTTCACATGAATTCTGGCTTTGCTTTGAACACCATGCGGGTGTCAACTTGAATGTGTCGTCTTTTAAATTTGCAGGCTTATCAAAAAAGTGAATTGCTTTCTCATGACCAACATAGTGTTACCTTTTGAACACAATGATGCTTAGGTTTTGCTCTGCAAGTTTACTTCCACGTCTGCATCAATAGGGATTTTAGAATGATTTTTAGGCATGGATTTCATGGGACAGAGGTGCAGACTGACTTGGTGTTTTTCCGGTCTTATTGCCTTGGTGACGCAGGTTATAAGATGTCCATATTTAAATGCTTTTGAACTCTGATGTATGAGTTAGAACATAGGTTGCAGTTTCAATTATAGATTGTAGGGTCGTTTGAACTTTGGCTAATTGAGATTTGCTTCCTTAATGATGCAGGCTATAAAGAGTTGAAGAACGACAAAGGGCTTAAAGAATTAACTTGGATAAGAAGCATAGTATCAGGTTAAATGGAGACTTGACTCATGGTGTGAAAAGTAGGAAAAGGCTTGGTAATTGGACTTGGATTTATTTGTAACTTTGTAATATTCGGTTTATTTCCTTGTAATGATTTTCTAAAAATGAGTAATGATTGTGTGAAGTTAAATAGAACTTGAATGAGTTTTTCTTGACCTTGGTAATGCCTTGGACACTTGAATGAATTTGTAAAAAACCCTTGATAGACAATGAACTAAGTTGTTTGATTTTACAAACTTGTCTTGAGAATTATGGATGCCCTTTGAATAAACCTTGTTTTACTATAACCATTTTACATTCAACTTGAACCTAGCTTAATGTCATGACCATACTTCGTTAATGCTTTTATAATTTCACTTGTTCTTCAAGAAATATAAATGCCCTTCTTATTTCAAAAACTCCAAACAAATCTAATCTATGACGTTAGGTAGAACTTCAAATGACTCTAAATAACGATTCCGTAAAATCCAAACCAAGTCAATCTCGCCTTCTCGCAACAACTTTTAATTTCCCCCTTATCCCCATCTTTTGTAATCGAAGTATCAAATAACAATGCCTTGGTCACATCATACGTCCACAATATCACCTTTGTACCATGGCTTGCATTTTGCAATCCAATTCACACTATATCTTGATTTTATGGATAATAACAATGTCTTGAGGGTGCCTTGAAGTATAGAAATAAATATAATATGAAACTTAATGAACCCTACTTGATAAATGTTACAAATTCACACATTGAAAATATGACACACTAGTCCACTTGTGCTTGGTGAATTCTTGATGGAGGATGACCTTGTAGCTTGATGAAGAAAGATCCATAACATCCATGAACACAAAACCCTAATCCCACAATTCCACTGCCTTGGGAAAATAACCAGAAAAAATCAAGCTTTATTGAACATATACACCTCATCCAATTGACAAAACCCTAATCATGTTCATAAAAACCATGGATCCAATGCTAAGCTTATTGATTAATGATGCATGACGTGTCAAATGACCTAATGTAGTGTATGCAAATGAAATGAAGAGTGCAAGATGCGTAAGCTAGATAAAAGCAAAGGGGTAGGACAAATTTGGGGTATTACGGCTGCCCCTATTTAATCGTCTTATACCTGAAAGTGCAATTGGTGCGTGCCTTTCGGAAGTTCAAGGTTGAAGATGATTAAATACCAATGCCAAAAATTTGTCCTAAGAGAGTGTGTAAGTGTTTATTTGTTTTTATGATATCTGCTGGGGAAAGAATTTTTGTTTTTTAATGAAGAGACGGAGATTGGAAGGTGACACAACGAGTGTTTAGAACTTGACACGATGAATGTTCAGAAGCTGACGTGACGAGTGTTGGTAGATAGCAAGATGTCAATGCAAGGACATGGGAGACTTGTAACGTAGCATGATGCCAATACAAGGGAGAGATCGAACTTATAAGGTAGTGGGACGCCAATACAAGGGAGAGATCGGACTTGTAAAGTAGCGTAAAGCCAATATAATGAAGAGATTGCACTTGTAACGTAGCGTGATGCCAATACAAGGGAGAGTCTGGACTTGTAACATAGCGTGAAGCCAATACAAGGAAAAGATCTAACTTGTAACATAGGGTGATGCCAATACAAGCAAGAGATTAAACTTGTACCGTAGCATGATGCTAATAGAAGGAAGAGATTGCACTTATAATGTAGCGTGATGCCAATACAAGGGAGAGACTCAACTTGTAATGTAGCGTGATGAAAATACAAGGAAGAGATCGAACTTGTAACATAGCATGATGCCAATACAAGGAAGAGATTTCACTTGTAACGTAGTGTGATGCCAATAAAAGGGAGAGACCGGACTTGTAACGTAGCGTGATGCTAATACAAGGAATAAATCAAACTTGTAATATAGCGTGATGCCAATACAAGGAAGATATCTAAGTTGTAACGTAGAATGATGCCAATACAAGGAAGAGATTTCACTTGTAACGTAGTGTGATGCCAATACAAGGAAGAGATCGAACTTGTAATGTAGCGTGATGCCAATACAAGGAAGAGATCGAACTTGTAACGTAGCGTGATGCCAATACAAGGAAGATATCAAACTTGTAACATAGCGTGATGCCAATACAAAGAAGAGATCGAACTTGTAATGTAGCATGATGCCAATACAAGGAATAGATTCCACTTGTAACGTAGCATGATGCCAATACAAGGAAGAGATTGCACTTGTAACGTAGCGTGATTCCAATACAAGGAAAAGATCGAACTTGTAACATAGCATGATTCCAATACAAGGAAGAGATTTCACTTGTACCATAACGTGATGCCAATACAAGGAAAGTATAACACGGACGAGTGTTTGAATTAATACAGACAAATATCGAAAGAAGATATGAACGAGTATCAAAAGGTTAAACACGGGCGAGTGTTTGAATCAATAGGGACGGGTATTGAAGGAAGATACAGACGAGTATCAAAAGTTTTAAACATAGACAATTGTTTAGGATCGATACGGACGAGTATCAAAAGAAGATACAGACGAGTGTCTAAAAAATGAATTGTTTATCAAACGGGGACTGACTACCAGACAAAAACTAGGTTTAGAATGACAAAGTGTATTGATTTTTCTTGGAATAGGTGGATGAGGTACTGGAACCGTTAGCCGGGCATCGTGAAGGTGAAGGTCATCAGCTGGGGGTTTTGGAGTGATACCCTCTTACGGGGATGTATTGCTATCCCAGAATGATTCAGGTCTCGTATAAGGTACCTGATCTGGTGTTGTACCCCAAAATTTGCCCTCCCATATTCTTCAAGAAATTGCCAAGTCATGCTTCAAAAGTTCCCCAAGGGTTGCACAGTGCAGGAGTCTCATGAACAGTCAAAATTAGGGTTTTGTTCTGATCAAGGAAATGAAGTTTCCAAAGGTCCAATCAAGTCTCACATGCCTACAAATATGGTCAAGCATCCTCATACAAAGTTTCAAGACCTTCAGCACAAAATTGCACAGTCAAAAACCCTAATTGCACTACAGTCAACTGTAGGGGCAAAATGGTCATTTGGCAGTCAAAAGTTCAAATTTTTGGTCAACATCTCATTTTGAAGCCACAAACATCGTTTGATCAATGCTTGATCATGATTCTCAAAGTTTGGCTAAAAAATCATCAAGATGCAAAAGTTTCCTTATTTGGACAGTTGAAAAAGTCAACTGTAAATTGACCAGGGCATAACTTTCACATGGATTATCAGAAAAATTCCATCCAAAGCTCATCTTGAAGAGAAAGACATTTCCTACATCTCATTTTCATATTCCAAGTCCAAGAAATGCTCTCACAAAAAGTTATCAATTTCAACATTATAGGTCATTTTCAAAAGTCAACAAAAAGGGACTTTAAGTCAAAGACCATAACTTGATATTGGTAAATCAAAATGACATGGGACCAAAGACATTGGTTAGAGGACTCAAATAACTTTCCAAAATGTCCAAGAACATGAGCAAATCTTAAAAATTGAGCAAGTTATGCCTTGTGGAAGTTGGGAAAGTTTTGGATATTTTGAAAAGTCAACATTGATTCAAATGGCCTAAAATTGCTAATGGGCCCATTTTTCTTCCACAATTCATTATCCAAGGCATGTGCACGACCACTTGGCCCAAAGGGAAGTTTTTATTCATTATTTATTTATTTATTTGGATTTTTATTAATAATAATTCATTTAAATTAAAATAAATACATGAAAAATGCTTAACCTAGTTTTTCAATCTTTTTGTGCACATTATATCATCAAGATTTCGTGCCTAGCTAAATAAGGAAAGAACCAATGCAATTGGATGTGATTTGGTAGCAAAAGCATGTGAAAAAAGATTTGAAAATCATGGTGAAAAAATCAAATATTCCTTCATCAATTCATGGATCTTTTGGATCAAATTCCTTGACCTAATTGTTCCACACATATATACAAAGCAAACCCTCATGCTTTTGACCATGCAGCTGCTCAAAAATCTGGAAAGCAAAACTTGAAATTTGTCAAAAAATTCCAATTCTGAAAACACTTGTGCAGGACGATTCAAGGCGAAATTTTTATCCCATCACCTTCCTGAAGCTTCAAGGAAGGGTTTCTGATCAAAATCATCCATCATAACTTCAAGAATTGGTAACACGAACAGGACCTGTACCGGAAAATTTTCATACTCTTGCATCTCAATTCATACGCTTTTTGCACTTTTTAACATGTGATTTACATTCCTTGTGCAATTCTGATGCTAACCACGTGGTTTAATTTTGTTTTCATGCCTTATATGGAGATTTGCCATTAGAGACATTTAGGGTTTTCAGGTTTTCAAATTAGGCATTTTCTATCCCTGTAAAATTGAGACACATCAATGCCATGAACAAAACCAGCTCGCTTAGACGAAAATAATGGCATGCTCGCGCTGAATTTATATGCCAAGGGGACCTAATCGCTATTATTCAAAGAAGCATGTTTTGAGGGGGTTCAAAACCCCCGTTAAATGTTTGTTAATTTGTTTCAGGAAATCACCAACGAAGAGGACGATGAGGTGGAAGGCGCTGGTTGGGTCATTCAAATTTTGCGCGCGTTTTTAAGCTACTGACTAATTTTCTTTTATAATATTTATTAATTATTATATATCAAACGCGTATGGGTTGATTCAGTGGCAAGCATAGTTGTTGGTAAAGTACATGACCTGGGTTCGAGCCCTAGGTCTTCACCCTTTCCATATATTTTTCCAATTAACAATCACATGCAGGTTCAATGTTGTTGGTCCATGATACACCTTCTCCATCAAGCCATCCACCTGTCCAATTTCGTCAATCCAAGGGCCACGCTCTGAGGTACATGGTGAGTCCCAGTCAACGCGCCAGCATACTCCCTGGAGAAAGTCAAACGGGCCAAGGTTAATGGGCCAGATTTCTAAAGGCTGTACCTCCACTTTGGGGACTGCAACCCCCCTAGGTTTGCAATTCTTTCTACTTTCTTTACTTTTTTTATTTTTTATT